GAGAACAGTTGCAGCAATGAAAATCAAAGCAATGGCACCAACAAGTATTATGCGCCCAACGACAGGCTCTTAAGCTCAACATTCTTAATGAGTCTTCCTAACTCACAGGCCTCTAGCAGGTGGAAGTGAGGAGAAAGAACAGTGTTCTTCATGCCAGCTGCTCTAGCATCTTTGATGTGGTGTAAGCCAGGGGTCCCCCACCTCTGGTCCACAGACCGGTACTGGTCCAGGCCTGTTTGGAACCAGTCTGCACAGCAGGAGGTGAGCTTGAATGTAATGCGCTTGAATCATCCCAAAACCATACCCCCCACCCCCCACCTCTTGTCTATGAAAAAATTGTCTTCCATGAAACCAGTTCCTGGTGCCAAAAAGGTTGAAGACCCGTGGTGTAAGCTGCTCGTGGGACTGGCCTGTGCTTTCGAGCACGTGTGAAGAGTCATCTAAGAGATCTTTTTGGTTAGGCATCCCCAAATTTTTGGTACTAAAAATGTCAGCCAATAATCGTCAGGCTTCATAATAAACTAACCACGGCTCCAACACCAAACAACATTTTTAGTGACATGCAAGGAGCAAAAAAAAAACCTTCCAATTCACAACTGTCAATTACAGCTAGACAGCAGGGGGTAAGGTGCGCAGGGGTGACGGGGACAGCATCCCCCAGGGCGTCTCCAAGCCACATTCTCACACCTCATTGCCTATGAGGTGACCACGCCTGCCCTTTCCATTTGCTGAGCTATGTTCACTTCTCAACAATTTCTCTTAACTACCAGCTCCTCAAAGTCAATGTCAAACGTCCTGTTCATCCTGTACAGCAGTGGTTCTCAGCCCTGGCTTGTCCTTGGGATCCTTAAAATGCTGAGACCCAGGCAGCCCTCCAGACCAGTTAAATCAGAGTCTCTGTAGGTGGGACAGGCATAAGGAGCTCGTAAAGCTCCCCAGATGATTCTAGTGCATGGCCAGGGCTGAGAACCACTGCTACAGAGGATTTGGGGGCAGAGGAGGGCAGCAGAAAGTGGGAGCCAGAGGTAGGTAGAATCTTCCACGAGTTCAAGCCTGGAGGAGTTTGGAGGACGCTGATTGAAGTTAGGAAGCCGCCATAGCTGCAGCTGATGCCCTTCTCTCCTGATAAACTACCAGCAGAGGCTCAGCTGCCTTAAGCTCTACATTGATTGGATTTTGAACAATTTGCCATTAATCTAAGCTTCTTGGCCATAATCAACCAAAGTATCACAGAAGCCTTAAGAAAGTGAAGGGGACGCTGAGCCAGGCATCAACAGAGAAGCCCATACCAACAGGCTTCACCTTGGGCGGGGGTGGGGAGTGGTCTTCAGAAGAACCTCCAGCTTGAGCTGACTTCAAGGCTGGCTGGCCAGGGGTTCTGGGGTTGTGGGTTCTGGGAGCATGGTCAACACACGATGTTGACTGTAATGTATAGGGTTACAGGCTGGCAGGGCCCGCTGCAGCAGGCTGACTCTGGGCTGGCACTCTCGGCCCTGGGTCCCCCAGCCCCTGGGGAGGCTGCAGTTGGAGGAGGGCCAGGGTGGGAGCATCTGCAGCAATAGTTCCAAGCTTAAGTGTGCATCAGAATCACCTGCAGGGATTAAAACACAGATTGCTAGGTCTATGAGGGGCCTAAGAATGTTGTGTTTCTAACAAGTTCTGAGATGTTGCTAACAGTCCTCTGTGCCACACTTTAAGAATCGCTGCTTTAAAGCATGAACCCCAGGACAGAACAGGGTTGTCCAGGTCTAGAAGGGGCACACCAGGAAGGAAAAGAACATGATCCCAAGATGAGCTGGGATTTATTTTCATGCATGTATACAAGTGTGAGAGCCTCTGATTAAGTGATTACTTCATGAGAACAGACAGGGTTTTAAAAATAGATATGTATTTGGGTTGTTTGTTTCTAATATTTTTGCATTAGAAACTGGTAATATTTAAATCAGATTTAATTTTAGAGCTCCCAACCTTTACTAGCATGAGACTAAAAACAATGACAGTAATATCTGTGAAAATCACTTAATGTGTCAGCCTTTTGGACAGTGAATTGCTCTCTCCGGTGGCAGACCACCTATGGCTACACCAAGCAAGAGAAGGCCATGGGCATGAGAGATGCTAGACAGGGTCTCAGAGAGAGCAATCAGGCTTCTAGATGTGGTTGGCGGGGGCCAAGGCGTGCGCCCAAGTGGTGTGGCCCAGGGGTTGCAGACATGGGGGCAGGGAACCTGTTGCAGTTCGTCTGTAGCTGACCCCCAAGAAGGCAGGTCTGCCTAGAGATTGTCGAGTTTTTTAAATTTAGATCGAACTTCTCTCTTCTAATCATCTAGATTGGAGGCCATCCTGGCTTATAGTGGAATATCCAGAATGTTTCTAGGGAGAGTCCCTCGTACTTCCCTGGTTGTTCCCTAGACTAAAAGTGAAGGCTTCTTTGTGTCACAGAGGAAGTTACAGTCAGTGGGCAGGCCACAGCAGTGAGCTGTACAAGCCTGGGGGCACCTACTCCTATGTGAGGCCCATCACGTACCCCTCTCACCTCCCCCAAACCCCTAAGTCATGTTGGACCTCTTGCCAGTTCTTAAATTCCGGAACTCTCTCATGCCTTTCCTCTCCTTCTTCCCTGATGAACTCCTATTCATCCTTAAGAACCCTGCGCAGACATTACTTCCTTTATGACCATATGTCTCTGGCAGGTCTGGCCAGACAAAACTAAGTCCTCCTTCTGTATCATGTCCACGACACATCATACTTACCACATTGTGCTGCAAGTGCTTGTTCCTGAGCTTGTCCTGCCTTGCCTCTGGATTATTCACTCTTGGAAGTTAAGTGCTATGTCTCATTCTTCATGTCTCCAGCACCTAACACAGTAGCTGGCACAGTTTAGTGTTTAATTAATGAAATAAATGAATTCTGGTGTTTGAATGGGAGAAAGCATTCTTCAATAGCCAGGAGGAATTTGTGCTGGAAAACATTAATGCTCAAAGAGTCATAGGCAATTGGAACTGGAGGGGACCTTAGCTATCACCTGTGGCAGTTCCTTGTCCTACCAAGGAAGAAGCTCAGAGATGCTTAAAGATACAGAGTGACCTACCCAAGGAGGAGAGTGAACTGGGCCAGAATGCAGCACTTTGGGTTCCAGGCTAGAGATCCGTCAGGCTTGGCCAAACACCCAGATGAAGAGTTTTGGACTAGATCAGCATCTCCTTCCCACACGTGACAGACCCCGACCCCATGAGGCCACCCCTGATCCTGGAGTATGTGGCATCCTCCTTCTCCTGCACTAAATCCAACCCAGAGGGACTGGAAATGTTCTCTGCCACAGAATCTAACCATTTTTAAGAGTGTTTGAGTGGGTGTTCATCTCTAGGCCTGAACCCCAGTGGAGTAGGAAGGTTTTCCTGGTACTTCCGAAGCAAAAAGGGTATTTTTGAACAAAGTGGTTAAGAAAGAGGAATGGAAACATCCCAATCCTTAATCATGATTTCTAGCAGCAGGAGAACCGCTTTGGGGGCCCCTTCTACCTCCCTGTCCTCGTGTCCTCCCTGTGAGGGACTTGGGGCCACGGTGTCATCATTGATGTTTGCTTCTATAGCACAAAATGAGAGAGGGTCAAAGGAAGGTAACTGGTCGGGGGCCATGCTGGGAAAAGACATGATGGGGAAAAGGGGTTGAGGGAGTTGCAAAGGGAATACAGGCGGAAAGGTTAACAATATCATTGTAGAATTTTTTCTTTTGGGGGGCTACCCTACCCTACAAGCTCTGCCACAGATACAATAGTTTACTCATTCATCCATTAAAAAAAAAAAGTCATGTAACTCTCCTGCTTAAATCCTTCCAACTCCCTTTCCATTTCCCCTGGGGTAAAACCAGAGTCACCAGACGTGGCTCTTTCTACTTGTCCAAATCATTTCCTAGGACTCTTCCCTACGTGCTCAGCAACTTTGACTGTTTCTACATCAGGGCCTTTGCATTTGCTGTTCCTGCTGCCTGAAATGTGCTCTCCCTCATTCCTTCTCATCCTTCAGATCTGAACTCAAAGGCCATTTCCTCAAAAAACCCTTCATTGAGTATCCTGTCTACAGCAGCCCCTCACTACACTTTGCACTTGGCCTCGGTAATCACACCTCACTTATTTCCTTAATGGTATATGGAGATGCTGAAGATAATCTTATTTATACAAGACTGTAAGCTCCACGAGAGCACAGACCCTGTCTGCCTTATTCACTGCTGCATCCGCAGCACCAAAAATAGTGCTTGGCCCATGGGTAGTGCTCAGGAAATATTGAATGAATGAATGAAGCACAAACATACATGAGGTTTATATAAGTGAGTAAATAGAAAGCTTCCATTGCTTCTAGGAACTACAACCTAAAAGTGAGTAGAATTCTCTTCTCATTGTATAACCTCCATAGCTTCCAATTCCTGACCTTTGGCTTTCGGCATGGTTCTCGCGATTCTTGTCCAAGTCCTGTAAGAGCTCTCTGTCATCTGTTCAGTGGTCAGGTTGTCTGGTTTTTCATCAAAGCACTCCTCCTTCAATTTCTTCTCCATTGTCAGGACTTTTCCTTCTGTGTAAATTATCTTAGGCTGGTCCAGGGTTGGGTGTACAACGTATGCACGTAATGCACAGAATAATACCCACTCCGATGCTGGATTAGGGGTCTGTTAGAGTAGGACACTGGTGTGGGATTGGAAGCACCTACTCTGGGCACCTACACGGGGCATAAGCTCAGCCAAAGGCTGCGTCCAGGCAGGCAGCAAGAGCGCTGGCACAAGAGTGAAAGGCAGATGCCACTCTAGGTCTGTGCAGGGTCAGCCCCTGGCAGGTTGGGTAGCGGGGTTGTAGCTCCTTCCTGAGCCCTGATGCTGGAAAAATCCCAGAACTCAGGGAAGTGGGGTTTGTCCCACTGGCACATCCCTCCCCTCCTGCCTGGGGGCATAGCCTCTGTTTGTTAGAGAATGTGGCGAAGTGCCCATCTAATGCCAGCTCTTTCCTCTTGCAGAGTCCTGGCCCGTGGTCGTGCAGTCCAGGTGGCTGGATGGCATGCTGGACCCAAGCTCAGCGCAGCGTCCGGGCCCAATAACGGCTTTTCCAAGGAAGCAGCTTTCCGTCCTGGCCACACTGAGGTGAGCACCCGGGGTGTCTGTCTTACCCAGGGTCCTGGCTCCGGAGCTGCCAGCACAACTGAAAATGAGCCCCAGGCTGAGAAAGGGCCACTGGACCCAACTGCTGATCACGGGGTTCCAACACATGTGACTCTCCCAGCCCATCTGGGAGAGGAAGTCCCTTGTGCTCTCAGGCTGGCCCCATGGCTTCCAGGGACATGCTGGGAGTCTGAGCCGCCCACCTCTAAAGTAACAGAACACAGGGCCACAAATAGAGTACTGGTCAGACCCTCCACAGCTGCTGATCTATCTGAGCAGGCACCCTTGGGAGATGGGAGGGCCTTAACCACTCCCATGCCCTTGGCCATGAAATAGAACACGCGGAGAGTCCCAGATCTGGAGACAGAGGCTCAGCTCTAAGTTCCATTTTCTCCAGGTTTGTGCCCATGGTCAAGTTACTCTTACTGTGTCCGTTTCCTCCTCCATAATGTGGGAATAATAAGGCCAACCTCCCGGGCTTGTTGTGATGGTTAATGAGACAATTCTGCCCAATAGATGATCATTTCCTTTTAGGATGGGCCTCTAAGAATGCAGAGCAGTAGGTTCTGCTTCCATTCTGTCCTGTAGTGGACCCATACACCCACAGGGACCTGCACCTGCTAGTGCTGTGTAGCTGCATATTTCCGTCATGGGCATTTTAGTGCTTTTGAATCAAGTTTACATGAGGCCCAGAAACCTGATAAACTAGATTTTTAAATAATTAAATATCCAAGTGTTCCCTGGTATCTGGACTTGTGGCCTAAGGGTGGTAAGACTTACAGTCTGTTGAAAGGAATTTTCACTTTGATGTTGGGGGTTGAGTAAACACAGCCCAGGACCCATCAGTCACAACGTGTGTGGGCTTCAAGCCTCTGTCCCCTGGAAGGTGCTAAGCAACGTCAAGTGCCCACATGTGGAGCCTGCCACTCACGAGGTGCATTACCCCAGATCACCTAGCCTCTCCAGAACCATTTCTCTGCTCCGCGAAGTTCAAGGATTGAACTAGATTTGTGCTTCTCAAAATGTGGTCCCCAGACCAGCAGCATCAGTATCACCTGGAACTTGTGAGAAATGCAGATTCTTGGGCCCCAGCCCAGGCCTACTGAATCAGAAACCGGCGGTGGGGCCCAGCAGTCTGTGATTTAACAAACTCTTCGGGTGTTTCCTGTGCTCTGCCCCTCGGGACTTGAGAAGCTCTGGCGTCCCCTCCAGTCCATGCTGCCCCCTGGGAGATGCTAGCGGAGGCGCTGGATTCTCTTCTGTCGATGCCTTTCTCCACTGCAGCCTCGGGCTGCCTCCCTGGGGAGCTGAGGGGCCACGGGATGCCTCTCACACGCCACACGGGCCCGACAACTGAGAGTGTCTGCGTCCGCAGCTGAAGAGGGCAGCAGTTCACATTCACAGTAGGGGCCAAGTGTAAAACAAAACGTGACACTTGACCCACTGTCATAATGTGGCAAGTGAAATGGAGGAGGAGGAGAAGGCTGGATTTCCTCAGCAGCAAGAACTCCCTCTCTCTCTCACACTCAGAGACCCTGGTCCCCTGGTCCAATCACTAGCCGGAGATTCACTGAGCGCTCTTGGCACCACTCCATTGGGGCCAGAATGATCTTGCTCCCCTCAGCAATGCACCTCGGAAGGCAGGTTGCCAAGCCCCCCTCTTTGGGCCAGTTGCTTACCTCTGTCCAGCAGCTTTATCACCTCTTCAGGTGAGACCAAAGTCTGTGTGAAGATCATTTACCTGGTGCAGGAAATTTCTCTTATTATTGGAGTGTGTGCGCTACTGGAAATTAGCTCCAGAATGTACCCCCGAGAGGGCAACAGAGTGGGGCAGCCTGTTGTTAGTAGCTGGATAAAAGGCACCGGCGGGTCCCCCCACTGTTAGTCATTTATCTTCCCTTCTGGGAGGAGCGGGACAATTACAGGACATTCGCACATTACACGGAACATGCTCCTTCCTGTGCGCCCCTCACTGCATCTCCCCCCGCTGAGCATTCAGCTCACAGCGCTCCGCTTCGTGAAACCCCGGTGGAGACTGTCATCGCTTCAAAGGTTGTTCTTAAAAAGAATTAAGTGAAAGTCCTCCTCCGGGTTTCGCTTCAACCAAAGAGAGAATAGTTGCATGTTGTTTTGTTTTGTTTTTGAAACTGTTTGTTGTGCATTACATCATTAGAACAGAAAATGCATTTGGTTTTCTTCTTTTCTTTTTTTATCTACGGATGATTTTTTAAAAGAAAGCCTTTTTAATTTAAGAAGATTATAGGGGCACATTATTATAAGTCAAATAAATGGTTTTTAAAAACCATCTTTTCATCTGAAACCCAAATGAGAGACATAGTTGCAACATTTTCAAATCTTAATGAAACGATCTGTCCGCGATGCAAATGTCCGCTGGGGTGACAGGCCACCAGGTGCCCCGTGCTGTATCCTGACGGTGAGCTGAGAAGTCGTCTTGGCTGTCGGAGCTCTGTGAAGGCAGCGCAGCAGAGTAGAAAGCTTTATACAGGCAGGCCTTGTTTTATTCTACTTTGCTTTATTGCACGCTGCAGATACTGTGCTTTTCATCCACATCAAAGCAAGACCCTCTGCCAGCCAAGAATTACAACTCGCTAAAGGCTCAGATGATGGTTAGCATTTTATAACAATGAGGTATTTTTTAATTAAAACATGTACATTGTTTTTTAGACAAAATGCTATGGCACACTTCATGGACTGTAGTTTAGTGTAAACATGACTTTTATAGGTACTGAGAAACCAAAGAGCGTATGTTACTCGCTTTTGCGCGACATTGGCTTCACTGCGGTAGTCCGGGGCGAGGCTGGCAGCATCTCCCAGGTGCACCCGCCGTTGCTTAAACTCGAAGGAGGTCGGAGCTGGGAGCTACCTTTAACGTTACCACTCAGATGGAGAGAGTAAGGAGCACAGGAGGAAGGAGATTTGTCCACACATTCACTGATTTTTACTCGGGGAGCTACCTGCGGGTGCTAGGTCACCTGGACACAGGAAGATGGACAGGATGCTTTTCTGCCTTTGGGGAGTTTGCCCGCCATGAGGGAGGATAGAAGAGAGGATAGGAGGGAGAAGAACACCAACTGAAATAAGAGAGCCTGAAGGAAGTGCTTTTAGGAATGGAGAAGGGAGAAAGTTTGTTTCTTCGGAAAGAGGAAAAGCTCCCCAGCGGAGGTGGCATTTTAGTTGGGTGTTAAATGACGATAGGAAGGAGTCCAACCAGCAGAGGTGGTGAGCAGAAGAGAGGGGGGTGGGGGCAGCGGGGAGCATGGCTGGTACAGAAGAATCTGAAGGGGGCCAACAGTGGGGAGGCACAGCACAGGTGCTCCTCGGAGGAGTTTACCCGGAATGTGAACTATGTGAGGGGAGAGAAGGCACGCAGGGCCTGTCAGGCAGCGCGGCCCCACTGGCTCGGCGCGGGGTCCCTGGGGCAGGCTGCCATGGGTAAATGGGGCGGCCAGGGATAACAGGCGCTGGTGGGGAGGGATGCGAGTCCAGGACAGAAGTTGGGACTCTGTGCCGTAACCTGAACTAGGCGCACAGAGGTGAGAAATGACTTTCAAGAGATGCCACTGACCCAGAACCAAAAGGGCTGGACAGAGGGCATGGAGGAAAGAGCAGCGTCCAAGGATGAGCCAAGGTCTGGAACTGGTGAATGAAGAATAGTGGCCCAGCCAAGAGCAAGGCAAAGGCAAATGCGGGGAAACCCGTTTAGAAGGAGAGGGAGCCACGTTCATAGGAGATAGTGGGATGGCTTTATAAATCAGCAAGGGGCCCCACGCGTGGCTGCTGCTGCTGAGTAAAGAGGAAGGAGCGATGATCCCAAAGAGGACTCTTTCTGGCGTCTTGCTTTCTCCATGTCAGTATCCATGGAGTGTTGCCCGCCAGGAAGCTGGAGGTTCAGAAGTGGCTTTCAAAAAAGCAGACCTGACCTGGTATGAGCATCAACTGCACAGAAGTTTCAGTAGACTCCTTAGAAGAGGGTGAGCACAGCAAAGGGAACACTGGAGTGAGGGAACCCGTGGAAATGGAAGACAAGGAGCAATGCAGCCTCATTACCATCAAACCCCTAAATTTTAGTCTTTTTTTTTTTCATTTCTGTATCCAAGTTCTAAGTGTTACTACTATAATTTGACTATAAAGGGATGAATATCAGTTTCATTTCTCCTTTCATCCACCTGATGAGGGATATCGTGGACTGAGAAGCAGGAAGAAATGAAACATGAGGAGCAAAGGTAAAGGGCTTGGATCCGCTGCCCCTGAATGGGGGGCCCTGTAGCAGCGGGCTGGACACCGAGCTGCGCAGCCGCTGGCCGGCAGAACCGGGCGGTCAGAAGCGCAGGTGCGCCCCCGCCCCCTGCGTGGCTGGCGGAGAACTGGAGCAAACACTAACATTTTCGAAGTAACCGAAGAGAAAAGAATGTGGCAGTTTCTTCTTGGTATCTCACCAAAGAGCTGTGTATTTCCAGCTGCAGAAAAGCACAGGACTGAGGAGAAGAATGCATTAGGAATGCTGTGCTCGGCCGCTCGTACAAAATCCAAGAGAAACCACGCAGCACCGTGGGAAGAGGGCAGACTTGGGGCTTCCCGGGCCACACCGGTTCACTCTTTCCTCCATACTCCTCATATGCCACGCACTGCACGTGGTCCCGGAAATATTTAAAGACAAATGGCCTGGCTTCTAAAGCCCCTTTGGGGAGATAGGCATGTCAATGATCCCCCGCAGCACTGGGCGGGGTGAGAGGTTGTGCGCGGAAGACAAGGGAGGTGCACACCCAGGGATGGAGTGACTAGCTGCTGTGACACAGATCTGCCCTCCAGGACAGCACAGCCAGGAGGGTGGCAGGCTCAAATTATCACACTTTGAAAGAAGCCTGATAGAGGAAAGACAAGGAACTGTGACAAAATGCAGAGAGAGGGAGCTGGGGAGTGGCCAAGCAGCAACATACCTGGAGAAGACCACGCTGTTGGCCACAGGAAATGAGAGTGACTCAGAGCTCACTCCGATTTTGTGAGTGCCTATTTACTCCTACCAACAACGTGAATGGTGTTTATTGCCCACTTTTCTCAATAAGGAAACAAAGGGTCAGAAAGATGAGAGGCTTCCCTTTGCTAACAAGTAGCCAAAATAGGAATCCACACAAGGTTCTCTAACCACAGATCAGATGCAGCCTTTTTTTTTTTTTTTTGCTACATTGATTTAGTAGGAGAGCGCGCGCGCGCGCACACACACACACACACACACACTTCTGAGGTTGAGAATGGAAGAGATCAGTTTTGACTGGGTGATCTGAAATGGCCTCAGACAAAGGCGGTATCTGTGCCAGGCCGCACAAGTGGAAGGGAATAGAATGACTAGTGGGCTTGGGGAGGGGAGGTGGCAGAAGGGATAGAATAGAAAGTTTGAGCACTCTACAGGGATGCTCTAACCTACCAAGAAGATCTGAGGAAGCTTCACAGAGGAGGTTACATTTGATAGGAATCTCCTGGTGTGGACAGAAGCTCACCGGAAGTCAGCTCAAGAACAGAGCTAGTTCCACAGTTTACTTGACCTGGGTGGTTGGAGGGTGGTCACCTAGTGAGCAACCTTATGCAGCATGGTGTCCTGTCTGGCACATGCTAAAGAGTGGCTTGCACTGCCTTTGGGGACAGATATAATTATGCCATTTGGTCTACACAAAAAAAAAGAAAAGACATGTTGAAGAATGAAAGAGAAAGTGAGGGAGAAGGGAAAGAAGAATGGAAGGGGAGACTGGCTGAGTAAAGGATCAGGTTCAGATTCTATTTCTGTTCCAGTGTTTGCTAGTGACTTTAAGCCTGTCATTAATTTTCTATGGATTACTTTCCTTATAAATGAAACAAAGAGGATAAATTCTAACCTAACTCACAGACTAATGAGAAATTAGGAGTGAACATATTTGAAAAGTTTTGCAACAACACACAAAGGAAATGTTATCAGTGTCATGTGTATATGTGAGGGCTGCTGGCCGGAGAGAAGGAACAGCTAAGATGACCTCAGAACTACAGTTTTTGCTCAAACACAATGCTTCCTGGATCCATCGTAAGGCTTCAGAGTCGCTGGATCTCATAACTGACACAGCACTGCTGCTCTAAAGAGCATGTGGTCATGCTAAGACTTCCAGACAAGTCCCAGGCAACCCTCCCCACGGCCTTCCAGCAGAGTCAAGCTGTTGGACAGGACTCGGTGCTGGGGAGAGGAATCCAACCCACCGCCCTGCCTCCCCAGTGCACCGTGTACACACACCGCCTGCTCACACTGCCTCCAGCCGGCGGGCAGAAAGCTCCAGGGATTCTGTGGGTGATGCTCCCAAGCTCAGACCAGGCCACAGAGCAGAGCGTCGAGGCCTCTGTCCCTTCCTGGAAAAGCCCACCCCTTAGGGAGGTGACCATATATCTAGGTTGTCTCAGCCAGTCCTGTTTATGCCTGTAGTCCCAGTGTCCTTGTGGCTAGCACCCCCTTTCGTTCTCAAAAGTATCAAGGGTAAGTCCAGGGTCAGCTTGCCCAGAGACTCCCAGGTAATCCTCTTGGGAGGTCGATTGTGAGCAACTGAGACACTGCCTTTGTACAAGAGCCCTCCATGCATCATCTCATTTCTGCTTCATTTCAGGTGCATAGCGTAATGTCCATGTTGTTCTACACTCTGATCACAGCTTTCCTGATCGGCACCCAGGCAGAACCGCAGGCAGAGAGCAATGTCCCAGCAGGGCACGCCATCCCCCAGGCCCACTGGACTGACCTCCAGCATTCCTTTGACACAGCCCTCCGCAGAGCCCGCAGTGCCCCAGCCCGGGCGATAGCTGCCAGGGTGGCAGGGCAGACCCGCAACATCACAGTAGACCCCAAACTTTTTAAGAAACGGCGACTGCGTTCACCTCGTGTGCTGTTTAGCACCCAGCCCCCGCCAGTCGCTGCGGACACCCAGCATCTGGACTTTGAGGCCAGTGGTGCGGCCTCCTTCAACAGGACTCACAGGAGCAAGCGATCCACATCCCATCCCATCTTCCACAGAGGGGAGTTCTCCGTGTGCGACAGCATCAGCGTGTGGGTGGGGGACAAGACCACGGCCACGGACATCAAGGGCAAGGAGGTGATGGTGTTGGGAGAGGTGAACATTAACAATAGTGTGTTCAAACAGTACTTTTTTGAGACCAAGTGCCGGGCCCCCAATCCCGTGGACAGCGGGTGCCGGGGCATTGATGCCAAGCACTGGAACTCGTATTGCACCACGACACACACTTTCGTCAAGGCGCTGACCATGGACGACAAGCAGGCTGCCTGGCGGTTTATCCGGATAGACACGGCCTGCGTGTGTGTGCTGAGCAGGAAGACTGGGAGGCGAGCCTGACCGACTGCACTCCGGCCCCACCCTCCCCCACTCCCCTCCGCACTCTTCTGGGCCCCTCCCTACCTCAACCTGTAAATTATTTTAAGTTATAAGGACTGCATGGTAATTTATAGTTTATACAATTTTAAAAAAAATCATTATTTATTAAATTTTTGGAAGCATCTGGTGTGCTGGCCCTCCAGTCATTTTCCCCCAGGGTGGCCATCTGCAAGTCTGGGGTCCATGCAGGGCGAAGAGCAGCCGCGGCTCCCCCTCAGCCCCCATCCCCCCGCCCCCAGGCTGGCACTACAACTTCAGGGAAGGCTCCCTGGTTCGCGATATTAGCCTAAACTGGGCGTGATTAGGAAGGGAAGTCTGTGGGATTGCAACTTGGTTCTGCATTCCAGAGCCAAAGATGCCTAATCCTCGGATTACCTGCCCCCCAGCCTGGATCCATGAGCCTTGATTGCTCCACTTGGGAAGTTAGCAGGGCCTCATCAGAAGGCTCGGTCCTGGAGCGACCTGCTCCCTCTCCATAGACGGGAGGAGACTAGCACCAAGGACCTGAGAGCTGGCTTGCTTCTAACAGATGATCCTTTTGCTGAAAAGCTATCTGGCAGAGTTGTAACGAAATAATCACAGGAGGCCTGTCACGGTCGATCTGATTTCATGGTAAGACTGCCTGAGTACTAATGGCTGGTGCTCTGTCTCATCCTCGGAGGCTTCCTGCAGAAGGGCTTCGGACTCGAGGAAGCACTAGGGCCTCCCACACTCCTGCTACCCCCTAATAGCCTCACAGCAACTCCGGCGTCAGCCCATACGCTGGCGAGCCAGAGGCCTGCCCTGAAAAATACTTGAAAATGTTTTAATTCTAACTGGGCGATTTCTACAAGTGACCAAAGGTAGAAAGGGTCGTGGGACCCCCAGAGAGATGGTGGGGAGAGAAAAGATGAAGATCGATGGCGCGAAGGCCAACACAAATCAACCAGGTAAGGTGGGGGTGAGCCAAGCCAGAGGGAGCGATGCCCTTCTGCTGCTCCTAGGCGGGAGCCAAACAGGAGAGAGGAGAGCAGAGAGGGTGCGAAGAGGGGCACACGGAGCAGGAGAGGAGGCGGCCGGCGCCTCACCGTTACCAGCCTCCCCTGCCTCCAAGAAACCCGGCACCCTGCGCGTCTTCCCTTTGTGGGGGTGGGGGTGCTCATCAACACTGACTACATCAAGAGCATCTTGTCTTAGAGAGAGAGGGAGGTGACAGAGGGACTCCAGGGTCCAGCCTGGAGCAGGACTCCACCCAGCCTCAGCTGCTACCTCCCCCTGTAACTTGTTTGGGTTTTTTTTTTGTATTTTCCCTGAAGGCACAATCCCCACACACACAGACCCCCAACACACACACACACACACACACACACACACACACACACACACACACAAACACACGGAGCACTTAAATTGAAATGGAAATTTTGCTTTCCCTACCCATCCCCTTACCCCCAGGGTGAAATGCCTACCCTAGTTTTTATGAGAACAGGCCCAAATTGTCCCTCTGATATAAAAAGCAAATGATCATACTTATTCCTCTGTAACTCTTACTGGCCCACCCCACCCCCAACCCAATCCAAATAAGGCAAATTAGAAACGTAGAGAGCTTTGGCACAAGAGGAATTTGATTAGGGTGAAAGCATGATGACATGTAGCTTGTTTTTCCTATTAAAGCTACTGCAATTGGAATAAAGATTTATGTTAAAGGAACACCAACCAGAACACTCTGTGCTGAGATGCTTGGTCAGATGAAGGCTGTGGGGCGGGAGCCCTCCCGCTGACCTGGGTCTGTGGCTTCGCACTGGGCTCCAGTGCCAGGGGCCTCAGCCTGCCTGGCCCCCACCCCCAGCCAGCAGTTCCGGGGCCCTTTCTCCTAGGGCCAGGCAGGCCTGCTGGGCCCTGGATGTGGTGACAGAGAGCTGGCAAGAGGGGCGTGCAGGCTTTTCTGGAGAGCTACTCCACCCCACCAGACACAGGGACCCCCAAAACAAGTCTTAGGCTCCTCTGGCTTGTCTGGAGGGAAGACAGCCTCTGAGGAAGGATGGGGGACGAGGGGCGGGTACAGGAGGTCTCCCCAAGCCCGCTAACCACGGCCTTCCCCAAAGGCAGCTTTTGCTCCAGGCCGAGCCCCAGAGCCAAAGATTTTACACACAGCATGGGATTATCAGTTTGCCTGAACAGAGCCCACATGGTCCAAAAACAACTCTGAGCCCGGTGGTTTCTGCAACTTGGACTCTGCCACCCAGCACAGGGCGGGAGCTCTGGCTTCCAGTCTCACCAGCTTTCCCCCAAGAGGCTGGCCTGGGTCACCAAGCCCCAGACACTTAAACACATTGAAAAAACAGCTCAGAATCGCCCATTGTATTGTGCTCCGGAGCAGCAGCAGCAGCAGCTGCAGCAGCACATCCTGAAAATGTTCCCTTCCCTCACACATTTTCCTGCTGGGTTCACCAAAAGCCCCGAGGGCAGAGCAGATCCCTGCCCCGTCCCCAGAGGGCACCCCTGTCCCTCCAGCACACCCACACGAAGAGCACTAGTGCAGACCCTGGCTGACCCCACCAGACCCAGCCAGCTCTCCTAGTGGAGCCTGAGGCAAAACCTGGATCCCGGGGACCGGGCATTACGGTACCTGACTCCAGTTCATATTCCAGCTCTGCCCTCTGACTGCCTCCCATCCCAGGGCGCCCGCCTCCCCTAGCTCTGCTTCACACACCCACCCCACCCCCGCCCCGGGCAGAAATCCTGCAGCGAGGATACAGATTCAGCAACGACCAAGCGGCTGTTTTCATTCCCACAAAACCCAGGCATGCTCCTCCATCTCAGCTCTGTCTCCTCAGCATCAGCTGCATGAAGGAAGGAGCGTCCCCCCCACACCTGGAGTGCAGAGAACAGGTGTTCTCTGCTCCTTGGAGAAAAGGGACCGTTAGGCAAGGGGAGCAGAACTATGGAAGTGTGGGCTCTCCAGAACACAGGCCCCCAAGTCAGCTGTGGCCTTGGAGTCTTTCTTCCACAGGCCTGAATAGGGAAGCAGGAAACCCCAGTCCCTGGGGCTGAGGACCCAGCCTGGTGTGAAGGCACAGACGTGGGCTTGGTGTCTGCAAAGCCAGGATCTGGCCCAGCTCCCCAGTCCTGCCTGTGAAAGCTCAGGGAGCCACTGCTGCTCTTTGGCCTCAGATCCTGCACTTGAGAAATGAAAATAATCATTTCTACCTCCCTAAGCTGAGAGCATGGAGCAAAACCATGCATTTGAAAGTAAAGTCGGGTCCCATGCAAAGTGATCCATCCTGAACTTAACAGTCCCTGTGGTGACTGTAGGAGAGTGACAACTCTGCTGTACTCACTAAATATTTGTTTACCGGCAGAGGTACAGGCTGGGTAAGGAAAGCCTGCTGGTCAGTGGACATTAAGGAATAGGGACAAAGCATAGCCAGGCTTAGAAAGGCAAGAGTAAAACGAGCAGCTACTCAGATTCTGCTTAATTCTGGGCTCGGGGAGGCCACCTAGATTCTAGAGGTTCCAGAGCAGCGGTTAGCAGCATGGGCTTTGGAGTCAGATATGCGAGATACTTCTACTTAGGCTGTGTGACCTTAGGCAAGTTGCTTCACTTCTCTGAGTTTCAATTTCTTCATCTCTGTAACGAGGATGATAACAGCGCTTTTCTCAGAGGGCTGAGAGACAATTAAATGATATAAATTATATAATATAAATAAACGTAAGTGTCTGGCATTTAAGAAGTAAGTAGCCCTGGCCAGGTGGCTCAGTTGGTTGGAGTGTTGTCTCTGTACACCAAAAGGTGACAGGTTCGGTTCCCAGGCAGGCGTATTCCTAGGTTGCAGGTTTGTTTCCTAGCTGTTGTGGCACATATGGGAGGCTACCAATCAATGTTTCTCTCTCTCTCTCTCTCTTTCTTTCTCTCTCACACCAATAAACATATCCTTGGGTGAGGATTAAAGAAAAAAAAAAGAAATGTGCAATACATTTCAGCTTTGAAAAGTAGAGTTTGCTGAGAAACCCTGAAAAAATGTTGTAACAAGGTGGAACACCTTTCAACAAGGCAAGGAGATTTGTGAACAGAGAGTTTTATAAATGTATCATAAGCTTATTCTGTGACAGGCAATACTAATATTACTGTCCACATTTATTAAGAGCTTGCTATGTGCCAGCGCAGTATGAAGCAGTTAACGTGGATTAGCCTGGGCAAGCCTCTGAGTTCTAATACAAGGACCGACCACCTTAAGGAGAGTGCCAGAAGGCTGTGCTTTCTGTTTTTGTGCCTTGCTGCCAGCGAAGCACTCCACGGTTCCTTGGGATGTGTTTACTACTCCAGCCCTTGGCAAGTTTATAAACCATTGGCTCTGAGATTTTCCACGTGTCGAGCACATGGGCTCTGTTTTGCTCCAATTACTTTGGGCGTGCGACAGGAAAGCCGTGACCTTTTTAAAGTTCACCTGGGTTTGTGGAGATGGCTCAGTGGCCCAGGGCCAAGATTAAGTTGGGCGGGCCCTTGCACAATAGCAGCCTGAGGAGAACCCCTCCAGGCCAGGGCAGCATCTTAAAATCAAGGATGTGTTCCATCTGTCTCTCTCCAGCACCGGAACCCAGTCTTGCATGTGACAGGCACTCACCCAGTATCTTAGGGCAAATGAAAGAGATTTTAGCTCCCATCTTTCCCCCTATCCCCAACCACAGTCCCCACCGCGTCTGTGCCCCGCCCCCGCCTCCCTGTGAGCAATAAATGGGTTAATGGTTTGAGTTAAAGACAAGGTCCTTCCTGAAGCCATTATGGGGTGGAGGGGACGGGGGTCTCCCAGCCCCAGCACCTTTCAGAGGCAGGTGTCATGATGAAGAGCATGATCAGACTGCCACGGTCCAACCCTAGCCGTACCACTAGCATGTCTGAGTGATATTGGACAACTTACCTCATTTCTCTGTACTTCAGTTTTCTTATATGGAAAATGAGGATGCTAATAATAGAACCTACT